ATGTTAAAAAATCGGCCCGCCTTTGTTGAACTTCAGGTTCCATTAGCCCAATTGATGTCCGGGTAATTGAAGTCGCCCATCACGACTACATTGCCCTCCCTCCCAGCTATTTCTATTTCGGACAGTAGATGAGCCTCCACCTCCTCCCCTATATTAGAAGGTTTATAACAAATACCCACAATTAGTTTACGACTATCGTATGTTGTATCCAGTTCCACCCATAAGGATTCCACGTCCTCCCCACTATTTGATGTGATATCGTCCCTTATATGCATATTTAGATTATTTTTAACATAAATGCATACCCCCCTTCTCCCACCTCTGTCCCTCCTGAGCAGGTTGTACCCCTATATATTGGTGGCCCAATTATGTGCGCTGTCTTGCTCTATTCCCACTATATCAAAGTCCTCCTCGAGCATCATAAGTTCAAGCTCTTCTAATTTATTAGCCAGACTGGCTTACATACATTTAATTCCTGTCTTATGGGACAGAGGTTTACTTGATATTGGTTGGCCAGTCTTAATTATATTATTTAAGGCTATAGGATTTACTATATTCACTGCGTTTGCACTGGTGACTGGAGTGAGCCCACTAATTGCCCCTTTATTACGTCCCTATTTATTATGTGAATTCATCTTAAGGTTTTCACTACCTAAATTTAATATTTTTATGCCCTCCCCCCATTATCTAGTTTAAAAGCTCCTCCAGTCTTTCTACCATTTTCCCCCCCAGAAATGCTGCACCTTCCCAATTAAGATGCAGCCCGTCTCGGCTGAAGAGCCGGTAACCGACTGCAAAGTCAGCCCAGTTCTCCAGGAAACCAAAGCCCTCCTTCTGACACCAGTTCCGGAGCCACTTGTTAAGTTCCCTCAACTTGCGCTGTCTTTCCGGAGTGGCTCGTGGCACCGGCAGTATCTCTGAGAAAACTACAGTGGAGGTCCTTTCCTTCATGGAAAGGCTCCTAGGTCTCTGAACTCCTTTTTTAGGACACTCCAATTTCCTCCTATTTTGTCACTGGTGCCGATGTGCACTATGACAATGGGGTCGTGCCCAACCTCATTTAGTAATCTATCAATTCGTTCCACAATGTGTCGAGCACGAGCCCCTGGTAAGCAGCACACTGTTCGACGCTCACGGTTACGATGACAGATTACCCTGTCAGTCCTCCTGATGATGGAATCTCCAACCACCAGGATCAGCCTCTCCTGACCCTCCGTCCTGCTCCCATCCTCGCCAGAGCAGTCACTCCCCCTGTGGATAGAAGAGGAGTCCTGCTCCAGCAGTGTCCCCCCTGAACAAATATCCCCAACATCACTTATGCAGAATTACTTCTTAAAAAGAAGTATAACAACTTTAGTCATCCTTTCAGCTTCTCCATTAGATTAAGGTTATCCAGGACTAGAGTGAATTATGGTGAGTCCAATTTACTTTTTCACCAGGAGACAGTGTATGTGCAATATTGCAAAAAAAGCTGGCTCTTGGGATGGTAAATTTGTTTACAGGCTGGAACATTAATAAAGAGTGTGATTCTGACCTAAGGTCTGACATTTTAATTATTTTTTGCAGACATGTACAGAAAAGGGCAGATGGAATGTTATGCTCCAAAAGTCCACTTATCCTTTAATACAGAACAAATAGACATAGACTACAATGTGCAACTAAAGCCCAAAAAAGTATGCAAAAATATATATGTACATAATGGACACACAACCTCGCCAGCTGTTTCTGAGTTACTAATCTGTGCTTGATTGCATGAAATTCTAGGCAGTAAACTATTAAATACTGGCAGAGCACATGCCGGTGAGATACAATCCTGTTGTCTTTGAAATATCTTTATAATCATTTAAATGTCATGCTTCAGGTTATCCACTCACAGACAAAACAACTTGTTTACCAAAGAAATAATCTATGAGTTTAGAACATAATTCTCTTCTGCAGTCATAAAGGCCACATGCTATTGCAGCAATAGACTGTAATGTACCCATGTGACTTTAGGGCTGCCACCTGGCACACAAACCACCATATTTACTTACAAAAGACTGAGAAATGTAGTTATGAATTTAAAATGTGAAGTGGAAGGAGACTGCCCCTTACCAAAAGGAAAACCAACACATTTTAACAAGTTAACGTGCATGCTGCAAATCTAAAATGGAATTTGTATTTTGAGAAATATGAAACATTTCTAGTGCCTAGTAAGTGTTAATGGAAATTGCCAATGCATGAAAATATTTATTGGTGAATCTGCTGCAAGCAAACCTACCTGTTTAACAATATAAATGTGCACAGATATTGCAGATCTGTATAAACTCACAATTCCCAATTTTAAGAACACAATTATTGCTATAGCAGTTAATTACATAAATGGTGACAAAGTATGATGATGGTTCTCATAGGGGTACCATGATTTAGTAACAATTTTATTGAGTTTAGTTAATATTTGTTGTGACTGACATCTGTGAAACTAACAGGGTTATTCACCAAAGAGTGAAGAGTTTGGAGAAGGCAGGACAAGCGAACAATCTAGGCCAAAATAGCTGAATTTGAATAATTCTCCAATTCAGCGCACTTTCCAGTTCAGCTGTCCTAGATTGTTCACTTCTCCTGCCTTGTCCAAACTCCTCACCCTTTTGTTAATAACCCTGTACATGGTTCTTATCCACACTCTTGGATTTGCAATGTTTTCTGTAACCACACTAGAAACATGCATGAACATTCCATAGGTTAATTTAGAAAACTAGAAGAAAATGTTTCCCTTAGAGTTGACTGAACTGAGTAAAGTTTGGTTCACTGGACTTTTGAAAAATCCAGCAGAAAATCCACCAATCTTGAACGTAGTGCCCAACACCATTTAAATCTATGGGAGACAAATCTTGTAATTTTTTTCTAGCCTTTTTTCAAGGCCAGTTCACAAGCTTTTGTTAAAAATAGAGTATGGGTAGCTGGAAACTGCCATGGCTGACATGTACTAATTAAAAATAACAAAACAAATTAAAATACATTTAGCAAGGAGTGGGCATTTCAATGCAGCTTAAAGGGCAGCATTAAAAATGCTGTTAACAACATGCTTGGGGGAGGCCGTAAATCTACACATGGAGTTGTGCACAATTACAATGTACTCCAAAAAAGTGACATTTAAAGGGTTATTCACAAAAGGGTGAAGAGTTTGGTGAAGGCAGGAGAAGTGAACAATCAAGGCCAAAATAGCTGAACTGGAAAGTGAGCTGGCTTGGAGGCTCTTTCCAAATCAGCTATGTTGTCCTAGATTGTTCACTTCTCCTGCATTCTCCAAAGTCTTCAAACTTTTGTGAATAACCCTGTCAGAAAAAAAGGATTAAACTTAAATGGCAGTTCCTGGTCAACTTAATTATGTCTGTAAAAGCAGCATGGGGTCCCCCTTATGGTCCATACCAGACCTTTATCCAAAATCTATGCCAGCACTCTTATCCACTGGATAAGGCATGTTGCCCCCCCCCCCTAAAATTCAAACCAAACTCTTGTCATGGCATGCAGTCAGGCCACATGCCCTCAACATTGGGATGGTACCATACTGGGGGCGGGCTGCAGAACCCTCTCCCTGCAAGGCACCTTGTTCTCATGTTGATGGGTACAAGAGCATCATCCCCACATCCCTAGTCTGGAGGATGTAGAGGTCTGCAGTAGGGTCTCATCAGAATCTGGAAGCCCCCTTTAAAATAAGGGGTCCCCCAGATATCTGGCCCTCCATTGTATGTAAATAAGTTAGGCAAAAAATAGTACCTCTTGTTACTTATCCACAAAAAATTAAATACACCCACACCTTAGAAAAAGTCCTTAATTTAAAAAAAAATAAAAAATATTGTCCGATGTAAATTCATTTTCAGCCAGATCAACCAGTAAGTTAAATCAATCACAATAAGCAACTATTACCACCACCAAACAAATGTTTTTCCTGCTGCAGCCGGAAGTCAGGGGTGGCAGGGTAAACTGGGCAACTCTGGTAATTTATTTAACCCCTTCTCCAAACTGTAAACATTCTACAATATGTTTGTGTCATACTCATGGTTGACCTGAACCCAAAGCTCATTCCTACTGTTTATATTGCCTAAGACAACCAATCATCTACTTACTACATTTTAAGGTACAACGTAAACACTGAAATGAGCAGATATAGGTGTTTGTGGGTTGTCAATCATTGACTTATAAATGTACCCAAATGATAACTTATTAAATGCTCATATGATTTTATCTGCTTTTTACAATTAGGTTTTAGTTAATATGTGTATGAGCAAGTTTTCTAGTGTCTGTGTATATGTTTATCTGTATATTTGTGGGTGCTGTATTGTAAATCAGAAAATTAAAATGTCTGCATTTGTTTATCTAGGCATTTAAAGACAATGGGGGAATTTATTAAAACTGGAGTAGACAGAATCTGGAGCAGTTGTCCAGGGCAACCAATCAGCTTCTCTCTTTAGTTTTTTCAGTTAAGATTTGAAAATGAAAGAGAGAAGCTGATTGGCTGTCATGCACAGTTGCTCCAGATTTTGTCAGTTCCAGTTTTGATAAATTCCCCTCATTATGTTTTCAAATCTATACTTGACCTGATTTGTGAGCTTCAATGATTAAATGTATAATTTATTGTAGAAAATGAAACAAGAACCAACAATACTATTTCCTATGCACCAGTATCCATGTATGTCACTATGTTTATTATTTAGAGCAGTCATTGAGAAAACATGTCTTAATGAAACAAAACTGTACCTGGTTACCTTGAGAAAGGCTTAATTAGACAGGCTATATTTTAGGTCACCCAGCATGTTTGTAAATAGAGACAGCACTAACATTATGATAATTATTTTGATTGATAATAGATTCCTGGATTTGCAGTCTTTAAGATATATACATTGGGAGGTACAAAATAGAAATACTTAATTATAGTATTCCTAGAAAAATCACACTTTATTAAGATTATTGTTTTCCTCTTGAACAGCTCATCTTTATCGCTTGTAATTTCTCTTTCTCAGGGTAATCAGGAAGCTACAGCACCTCCCGACACAATGGCGCAACCCTATGCCTCTGCTCAGTTTGCCCCAACCCAAAATGGTATTCCAGCAGAATATACTCCACATCCCCACCCGGCTCCAGACTATACAGGACAGTCCACAGTTCCAGAGCACACATTAAGTATGTACCCTCCGGTGCAGACACACTCTGAACAGAGTATCACGGATACAAATGCACAAACTGTCTCTGGCACAGCTACAGTAAGTTAAAACAGCATTTTAGTTGTTTTTCTATGTTTTAGAAACATATTTACACTAATACTATTATGTATATTGTGCTTTCTGTAATTTGACGCTGCTGATTCTGCAAAAAGGCACCAGTTTGGAGTGTAATATGCTATATAGGGAGATTTATCTCCCAAAATTCATTTGGGTCAGTGTTTCCCATAATTAGGTTAGTTCTAAGAAAATAGGATTTTTACAAAATACAGGTATTACCTATACTAATAAATGATTATTTGTTAAGAATGTAAGCACCCCTTTTATGTTTAAATGAGACTTCTAAAGGCCAAAAGTACTACCCGTGTACACTGCTAAATTTGAGTTTTGATTTGTATATTCTGATGTGGCTGCTAACCATATCATTCTAGTCATTCCATGGATCCATCCTGTCTGCATACGAGTACAGACACCTGCAAGGATGTGCTGTTCGGGTGATCGTACGGCTCTGTCCTCCCATAGAGAAGAACAGGCTGCTGCATACAATCGCACGCAGCACCTGTCCTTCCCGGGAACTGCCCATTACGGCCGTGCACGCCACATGGATCTGTACGGGCCGACTCTAAGCTGTGCGAATGAGGCCTAATAGCGCAACTTGTCAGAAGCTGTATCCCTGGAAAACCACCCTCCCAGTGCCGAGGGCATGTGGCCTGGTATGGCAGAGAGGGGGGGCGCTCGCTCGCCCCCCTCCTTTCCTGCCCTGCCAGGTCTGTGTGTGGCTCAAGCGTCTGGTTGGGAATTTTAGGGGACCCTACATTTTTACTTTAGGGGGGAACGCCACGCATTTTCTTCTATACCAGACCTAAAGGGTCTGGTATTGTTTGGGAGGGGGAACCCACGCTGTTTTTTTTTCTTCTCTTTAAATTTTTTAATAATTATTTTCTTAAAGTTTTTACTTTTCTCATTTTTAAACATTTTTTTTTCATTTGTTTACTTTTTTCTATTCTGCTCGTACCTCAGAGGTAGCAAGCATAATAGACGAGCCGAATGCCCCTCACCAGAATTCGGCTATTTAATCACTGCCATTCGGCCTCTATGAGAATAGGGGCAAGCGGCAGTGAGTGAATCGGCTGAGTCGAACGGCTTCTGCACTTCAGCTCAGCTGAACATGCAGAGCATGTTTGGCAGACTAAAGGCAACCGATGTACGACTGACTTTAGCCAATGTATGGTTGAATTTAGCCATACAGGGCTGAAGTGAATAGCTGAACGGTGTTCAGCTCACTTCACTTCCGCTCGCTTATTCACTCGGCTGCCTTCAGCACCCCCTTAGTTTCCCTGAGGGTCAGACAATTCATCCCAGGCTCAGCTAGTGGCAGCAAGAAGCCTGCATCTAGAGCTGTACACTATACACACTATCACACATCTAGAATTGACCTGTGTTGTACCACACTGGATTAATGCAGTTCACTGCTAGGATACAGAAAAAAATAGTTTTCTGTGTCCCATTCACACCACATTGCAGGTGTGATGGGTAGTAGACATGTGTGATTCGTTTAGTTCCGAATCGAAATTCGGGCGAATTTTCGGAAATTCGGACATTCGGATGTATCTGAATTCCGAATTACAGACATAACGAATGCAAACGAATCCGAATTTCCATTTCCGAAATTCGGTAGTGGTAGTCCGAACGTTTGTTTCTTATTCGTTTCTTATTCATTTCGTTCGTTGGAGCAAAGTGACATTAGAGATGGAGAAAAATATTTTTTCCCCCTCAAATGTCACGAACGAATGAAATGAATAAGAAACGAATATGAACAGAAAACGAAATGAACGTTCGACCTACCGCTACCGAATTTCGTCCGAATCCGAATTCCGAATCCGAATTGACTTTCACACCCGAATCCTGAAAAACGAAATAACACAAATCCAAATTTAAAACGAAACAAAACTAAACAAATTTTTTGGCAGTGCACATGTCTAATGGGTAGGGTGCTGCACTGCTAAAATGCAAACATTCTGCATTTTATTGCAGAGCACTGGCTCCTGCCACAGGTTGCCACATGACGGTACTGTGGACTGTGCTGTTATGCGGGGATCTGAATGGACACATCGTACACATTGTACAATTCACATAAATTAAAAAAAATTTAAACAGTGACAGCTCGGGTAGTGCACAATACAATCCACACTACCGGAGCTGTCATAATGCACTAGCCCATCTGCTGAAATTCAGCATTTTAGTGGACAGGCTAGTGCAAACAGGCCCTATTTTTTGTATTTGCTGCCCAGCACATTTACACCTACACAACCCCCTCTGCAGGTACAGCATTAGTGTGCATTGAACATCTTCTCACACAACAGGGGTTGGAGTGTAGGTGGACACAGGAGATTAGATGGGAGGTGGAGAAGATACATCTTCCTCTTCATGCAGAAGCAAATCATGCCTGGAGACTTCATGGAACTGGGAGAGGGTCTTGGAGACTGGCACATCCACTTCATGGAACTGGGAGAGGGTCTTGGAGACTGGCACATCCACTTCATGGAACTGGGAGAGGGTCTTGGAGACTGGCACATCCACTTCATGGAACTGGGAGAGGGTCTTGGAGACTGGCACATCCACTTTTATGCAAAGACGAAAATAGGGTGTTTTATGGACTGTCTGTAATTACTTAGAACAATGAAGTGGGTTGGTATGTGAGGTACCATATCCAAATATGCATAGTTATTTTAAAGACATAGAATAAAGCTGACTTTTAGGTACCCAATTGAAACAATGCTTACTATATAAAATATTTGCTATATTGACATATAATTAAAACAAATATTAAAACCAATGTAATATATATCCCATGCATTAATGTCATAATTAGCCTTCAATTGCATTATTGTTGCCATCCAATACCTATTTATTTCTCTATGCATAACAAATGTATTTAATGCTGTATCACAAATGTAATTAAATAAATATATTTATTTCAGAG